GCGCGGCAGCCACGTGGGGGCGCGGCGGGACTTCCTCGGCGCCCGCGCTAACTTTGCCAGGCGAGAGAGCGGCCGGCCGGGCTGCCGGGGAGTCGGCAGAGCCAGCTCTCCCCAAGTTGAGCTTGGCCGGAGCGGCGCGCACGCCGCCGGCACCGCCTTCGCGTCCCTCTGCGCCAGGCAGAAGGAAAGTTTGGACGCCGAGCCTCAGCCGCTCGCCATCCCACACCCCCACCCTCGGCAGCTGGGGGGTCCAGGAGTAGGGCGCCAGGTAAGGTGCCCGCGCCAGGCCCCTTTGGCGGAACTGGGGCGAGCGGGAAGCGCCGGGGCTGTGTGCGCGGTCACTGACCGCTGATGGCACTGGAGAGCCATGGCACCGCTGATGGCACCGAAGCCGGCAGCACATCCGCGCAGGAGATGGAGCCTGCAAGTGCAAAACTTTAGACAGCAAAGCAAAGTCCCCAGAGGCCGACGCCCCTCCCACCACGGCCGCGGCGCCCTCCTGGCACGAGGGCCGCTCACTGTGGTCTAGGGCTGACCCCTTCGGCCTGACCTCTTGGTCCAAAGAACAACCCCGCTATCTCGCAAGTGGCCACTGCTCCACCGCAGCCCCTAGGCGAGGGAGTGCCCGCTAAACCCGCCGGTCCGCCGGGAACTGCTTCCCGGAGGGCCCAAGCCCCCGCGCCGGGCGGATCCCCGGGTTCGCGGCTCCGTCCGGCGCGCACGCAACTCCAACTTGCCCTGCGGTTCCAACTCACCTTGGCGAAGCATGTTGGCCGCGGGGCCGTCGCTCCGAGGTCGGTGTAGGCGCGCTCCCTCCGGGGCTCCAGATTCAAATCCCGGAGCGCCGGCTGCAGCTAATCCGAGCGCGTCGAGGCGGGGGCAACCCGGGGATCCGCTGGTGCCCGGCGGCCGGGCCCCGCAGGGGCATGGTGAGCCCGAGCCCCGCACCGAGGGCACCGGCGCCCGCCAGCTACCGCGGCGCTGCCCCGCAGCAGCCTCGCGCGCGCGCTCAGCCCCGGGGCGAACGGTTTGCTCCGCGGGGCTGGCGGCCTGCTTCTGCCGCCCGGAGCACTTTGCAGGCGGTTTTGAGGGGGGACGCCGCCCCCCAGCCGGCGGGCCACGGCCCCC